ATATCGTCGGTGATGTTTCCTTCTAGAAACTTGATGAAACATTGGAATGAAACACAGTTTTAATATATTTGTATATTTGTGGGTGAAGATGTTGATGATGTGTTCTCAGGTCTTCTCCGTCTTGAGGTGAACCGTGTTCCCAGATGTTTGGTGTTTGATGCCGGTGTCGTGATGTCGAACATCAGGAGGTCGTCGTCTCTCCTCAGACGCTTCCTGTGTTGGAGTGAGGTCCAGTCATCCAGGACCGCTTCCTGCTCCAGCAGCTTGTTCCTGCCTGACTCTGACGTGGGCCTGGTCCTGAAGTCTCAGTCCACCGACGTGTTCCAGAACCTGGCTCTGGAGGACTGGATCGACACCAACGTGGACCTGCAGCAGCGCGGCGTCCTGCTGCTGTGGAGGAACCGGCCGGCCGTCGTCATCGGACGCCACCAGAACCCCTGGACCGAGTGCAACCTGCCGGCCATGAGGAGGATGGGGATCCCTGTGGCCCGCAGGCGGAGCGGTGGCGGAACCGTGTTCCACGACCTCGGGAACCTCAACCTGACGTTCTTCGCCTCCAAGAAGGAGTATGACCGGCGGAGGAACCTAAAGGTCGTCACCGAGGCTCTGAGGCGAGTCAGACCGGGACTGGACGTCCAGGCCACAGAAAGATTCGACATTTTACTCAACGGACACCTCAAGATCTCAGGTACGGAGGAGGAGGAGCTTATTTCAGTAATACAGGGGTCAACTACGAGTCCCAGAAAGCACTGCTCTATAACAGAAGATCAGATAAAACTTTATTGATCCCTGAAGGTGACACTGATGAGTGTGAAGATATTAAACATGAAATATGTAAGTGGAGCTGTGAGCATCAGAATGTTTCGTGTTGTTTACGTCACAGACTCTTGTTTACGTGGTCGTTAACAGGAACTGCATCCAGACTGAGCAGGAAGTCGTCGTACCATCACTGCACGCTGCTTCACTCCGCTGACCGCTCCGCCCTCTCTGCCGTGCTCCGCCCCTCCTGCGCTGGTATCCACAGCAACGCCACACCCAGCGTACCCTCACCTGTGGCCAACCTGCTGGACCACGCCCCCACGCTGCAGTGGGAGGAGCTTCTTGATGGACTGGTGCACCAATACAACACAGGTCTTGTGAAGGTTCTACCGCCCTCTAGTGTTTGTGTGGAACTTTAATTTGCTGACGTTCTGTTTCCTGGCCCTCAGAGTTCGGCCTCAGCTCCGCCTCCAGCCTCGTCGACCCCATGGACGAGTCCACGTTTCCTGACATCAGCAGGATGGAGAAAGAGCTGCGTAGTTGGGACTGGACGTTTGGGAAGACGCCTAAATTCAGTGTCCAGACGCAGCTGGAGCTGACGGACTCCTCTGCTCGCTGCTCCGCTCAGCTGGACATGGAGGTGAAGAACGGGCTGATCCAGAGCTGTGACCTCCACGTGCCTGCAGACTGGCTTCCTGCGCGGCTGAGCGGCGAGCTGGCGACCTCGCTGGTGGGAGAGAGGTTCTGTCCACAGCGAGCTGCCGCAGGTGTCGCTGCGCTGCAGCGGGCGGAGAGTGACGAGCTGCAGAGCAGACTGCACATCCTGTGTGACGCTGTGATGTCAGCGATGGGCTGAAGTTTGTGTCCATGAGTCTGATCCACTCAGGGCTGCTGGCGCCCCCGAGAGGCTCCAGCGTTCATTACAGCTGCGGTCGTGTGTATTCATGTTGACGTCAGACAGAGCGAAGCTGCTTCAGCTGGTTTTACCTCAAATTTCTCACTTAATGTTTTTATTCTGAGGATTTGAAACCTGAACATAAACACAACAAACGTGTCTGACGTGTTTCTGTCGTCGTTTCCCTTCCAACACCAAGAGGAGACATTCAAACTCGTAACATTCACAGGGATCTGCCTTTTGACTTTTCATTAGGATTTAAATGTGCTATAAATATGGTCGTGAAGTCCGTTTATATAAAGTTCTATATGTTTTGTTTTATTTATAAACTTCTTCAGGACCTGAAGTAATATTATGAGCAGCACTACTGTTATTATT